GAATATACAAACTCATGCAACATCTGTTATTGCATCGCTTAATCAACAAAAAGTAACGTGCGGAATAAATAATATCAAACCAAACAGAAACAACAAATAAGCATCGTTCTATTATTGAAGTTAAGTCTTGCTCATTATACACATGCTTACTTTTTAGCATTGATGGTTAAAAAGTGTCATGATTGTAACACTGCTGCCTCAAACCTAGACAGTTAATTAGCAGTCATTGTTTGCTCATCGAATGACTTTTCGATTATATGCTATTGGGTTTGAATAATTGGCAAAAACGTGCACAAAGGGCTTAGTATATGTATGCATTGTTTCAACAATTCCTTGAACGTTTTTATCACCAGAAAATCCTATTACATGACTTTAAGGAATTAATAAGTGCAATAGCATCAATTTCAACTACAATTGTACAGGATTGTGGTGTTATTCGCTGTTCAAGACATTTTGCATTACATCTACTCATTATCTATAATAAATAACTGCAGTTACAGATATCACTATATGGCAAACGGAAAATTTGGCAAAATAATTTTTAAATTCGAAAAATTAAAACTTATTTTTAAAATATTAAAATTTGTTGATATTTACGTGTATTAGTATAATTTATACCTAAAACTGAAACAAACCTGTAATATACCAAAGGTTATGGTGTGTTGACGAAATCAACTGTGCTCAAAATCGGGAAGCTATTGGTAACTACGTTTTCATGTCTATCTGTTAAAGGTCAAGTTACAGCAAATAGGCTATGTCAAACATTTTGAAAAAAATTGGCATAGAAGTTTGGCTCGTTGAATTATAACCGAAAATCGAAGACATAATGCACTGAAGGAAGTACATATCAATTATTTTTCCCAAATACTACTGGTTATATTCTTTTAAAATAGTTAAGCATTTGTATAGAAGGAAAATAAAATCGGCAAAAAACGAAATTTGTCTTACAATAATTAGATTTCCAATGGCATGTCCATAGATTTTTTCTTAAAATATCATATGTTGTTGATACATAAATTTCCGTTTTAATGTCTTCTTTGGTATACAAATTAAAAAGGACGATGAATATCTACTATCTTTTAACTGGATATCAAAACTTCGCAACCATCCTTAAAACAACTATATATAGCTGGGTTGTCTGTATATTGTGATGATATGTAGATATATACAACACGCGGTGTCAATCAGATGTGGGTTCTTAAAAATTCAAAAATAATACACTTAAAGGGGCACTAGCTACGAGATATATAAAAAATATAGAATATGATTTTTTTTATCAATCATTAATGACAGTGAAATAGTGAAATAAGATATCGCTTTTAGCAGCCAGTATGGTTCATTTTTGTCAAAATAAGCTTTAAAATATTGATGATGAATTATTCAGTTGCAAGTGAATAATTCGACCTCATTGAATCCATATTCATGTGAACTTCAATTTAACCCCTTAGCTAGAGATGGATACCGCATGCGTTGTGCGTGTTCAATTATTTAAAGGAAAAGAATGTCAACATTGAAAGTGAAACAAAGGTAAATCATTTGATTGACTGATTTGATCCACAAAAAATCATTCTTATGCAGGTAAAACGATGATTAACATATATTTTTAATCTATAATATGAAATTAATAAAACAGACCATGCAGACCAAGAAAAATCCAAATGCACGAGTCTGATATCTATTTATATCTATATTTATGTTTATATCGCTTATATGGCAATCGGAGGACTTCGGAGGACAACTCGACAGTTAATTAGATGGCGTCTTGACTAAAATACACACGAAACGAAGATACATATTATCAATCCCATGCCCGGTATAATGTTTATTCTAGACTTTTTATAATTTGGATAAATGTTTTACATTGTTATAAATCAAATATGAGAATTTGAGTCAAATCGGTGAACATGAATTTGACAGCTAGTGCCCCTTTAAGTCTTCAATCACAATCTTTACAATTTTGAAATAAGATCAAATCCTATGTTTTTTCTACTGATTTCACAAATACATGTACTCCCTATACTCATATGAAAGATCCTCTCATTAAACAGAGCTTTTTCTACAAAAAGTAAAAACAGATACAATTTCCGTGTTTAAGGTCATGACAAATCTTAAGTTGCGAAGAACCACAATGATTCCCACAACAAATACACCAAAGATAATTCTATCAGAATGCTAGACTTTTTAATCGACAAAATATTTGTGGACGGTCGGTATTCCAATAAGAACTTAATATGCACCACTAGTGGCCGACTTGTTTTTTGTATTCATATGAAGCAGTATTCATACAGAACCTTCTGAAACACAAAAAACCATCGTGCACATTTCTTTTATTTCTCTTTCAGATATATTAATGATGTTTGTCACTCAATTTTCAGTGAGTGCTCATATCTCAAATATATCCTAGGGAACTTGAGATTACGAATACTATCGAAATTAGATGGTGTTCTTCATGTCTTGATTTATCAATCGAGATTGACTCATATTAACTTCAATCAATATT